GTGCGCAGGTCGCGTGCGGATCGAGGAAGGCGCCTCGCTGCGCATCGACCTCCTGCGCGCTGAGGACCAAGGCTGGTACGAGTGCCGCGTGCTGTTCCTCGACCGGCACAGCGCTGATGCTGACTTCCAGAACGGCACCTGGATCCACCTCACCGTAAACGGTACTGGTTGGTCCCACCCTTGGTTGCTGCACAGCCCAGCACCAGCCAAGATCTCGCAGGGCTGGGACTGGATCCACTGGTCTTCTAAGACCAGCTGAGCCGGACCTGGGGATGAGGGTCTGGACTCGTCTTTACAGCACCCCCCACCTTCCTGGAGACCCCCCCTGCATTTGTGGAGGTGCAGGACCAGGACACGCTGAGCCTTACCTGCACAGCCGTCGGCAACCCCCAGCCTGTTGTCATCTGGAAGAGGAGCAACCTGGCTGTCCAGAGTGGGGACGCAGTGCAGGTGAGAATGGCAAACCAGTGCTTATCCCCGCTGCAGTGTGTCCACTGTCTCGGCCAGAGTGCGATGCACCAGAGCAATGCAACTGCTTGGCCAGAGAGCAGGCGCCCAGCCCCACCATGGTGGCACCCACCTGCTGCCACCAGCGCTGCCGACAGCACCATGTTCCTGAGCATGTCCTGTCCCTTGGTGGCCATGCCATGTGACCGATGCCATTGCAGGTGAGGAATGGGACACTGAGCATCGCCGCTGTGGAGCGTGCCAGCGCAGGCACCTACACCTGCCATGCTTCCAGCAAGGAGGGCACCATTACCCACACCACCCGTGTGCTCGTGCAGGGTAAGAGCAGGTGCTGTCCCAGCCCTGCCCACGTGGGCCACCCCACTGGCTGCTACTGCAGGGCACGGAGGGAGCAGCGTCACGGGGGTTGGTTTTGGGACAGGCGCAGGTATGACGAGCTTTGGGAGCAGCTGGGGCCGTCCCCTGTCCCCAGCCTTCATCATCCCCTCTGCCCCACGCTGCAGGGCCACCTGTCATCGTGGTGCCACCCCAGAACGTCACTGTCAACGTTTCCCAAGATGCCTTTCTGGCATGCCAGGCTGAGGCGTACCCGGGAAACCTCACCTACACCTGGTTCCAGGGCAGCAGCAATGTCTTCCACCTCAGGTACAACAGGGATGGGGATGACACCGAGGCAGCCATGGTCTCCTGCCGGCAGTGTTGGGGCTGACAGGCTGCTGTGGCCCTGCAAAGCCTGGATCTGAGCAAGATTGGCTGGGTGGGTGTGTGGAGTGGGGTGTCATTCATCCCAAGGCAGTGGGGTCGGTCCCAGCCACACTGCTCACCACTGCTCTCCCCTTCCCTTGCAGCCACCTCCAGACTCGGGTCCGCATCCTGGTGGACGGGAGTCTCTTACTCCAGCGAACGACCCCCGACGATGCCGGCAAATACACCTGCATCCCCAGCAACGGGCTGTGGAAGCCACCTTCTGCCTCAGCCTTCATCACAGTGCTGTGTAAGAGTCCTGCAGTCCCTCACGAGCCTGGGCCACGCTGTCACCAGCTCCACTCACGGAAAGGCCCTGCTGGGCCAGCCCAGAGGGATCCCCACAGGCCACGGTGGCAAGGGGGTGCCCCTTCAGCTACCATGGGGATCCCAGCACCCTGCTGCCCTCACGCAGGCCCTGGCACCATTTCTGTTGGCAGATCCAGCAGAGGTGACCACCATGCTCCCAGAGACCCACCTGCCCAAGGGGATGCAGGGTGTGATCCGCTGCCCCACCAGGGCCAACCCCCCTCTGCTCTCCGTCAGCTGGATGAGGGACGGGCGCCCGCTGCAGCTGGACAAGGTACCGCCGCTTGCATCCGCCCCTGCCTTCCCACCCCTTGAGCCCCTTGTCCTGACCCCATGCTCCCCTGTCCCAGCTCCCTGGCTGGTCCGTGAGACCAGATGGCTCCATCATCATTGCGATGGGAAACGACGATGTGCTGGGAGCATACACGTGTACCCCGTACAACAGCTACGGCACCGCTGGCGAGTCCCGGCCCACACATGTCCTGTTGAAGGTGAGGCTGGGCAGGTGGGCACGCTGCCCGAGCCCCTCGTCCGGGGTGCTCCCACCCTGCTGTGCCGAGCAGCCCAGGTGCCCTGTGTGCCCACTGGCCTGCCCTGCTGCAGGTCTGTGCCCCTTCCCGCCTGCTGCGGAGCCCCGCACCATGCATGCCTGTCTTCCAGGATCCCCCTGCCTTCACAGTGCGCCCCAAGGAGGAATACTTCCAGGAGGTGGGCCGGGAGCTGGTGATCCCCTGTGCCGCCCACGGGGATCCTCCCCCAACTGTGACCTGGCTGAAGGTAGGAGCCGCTGCTCTGGGGAACCAGCTGAGCCCTCCTGGTAGGTGGACGCTGCTTTTGGCCTCTGGGGCATCACTTTAGGGCAGTCCCCATGTCCGTGTCCCTACAGATGCTACAGGGTCACATCTCTCCTGGTTCCTTCAGGAGAAGGGGCTCAGGGTAGTTTGCTTTTGTTGCCCTCTAAGAAACCAGGGCAAAATCCTGCCCCTTGATTCCTAAAGCAGCCCCAGGGTGGTGGATCACATTGGCTGTCCAAGCCCTGGGTGGTTGCCCACCATCAGCATGTCTGTGCCTCACCATGCAGGTGGGCAGTGCAGGGAAGAGCAGCGCCCGGGTGGATGGGAACGGCAGCCCCGCCTTCCGCCCGCTCCGCGAGGGGGACTCGTCAAGGAGCAGCACGGGGTCTGGGAGTGCACGGCCACCAACCAGGTGGCCAGCGTGAGCACCACCACCTCTGTCCATGTACTGGGTGAGCCACTTGTCCCTGGTGGGCAGATGCCATGGGTGCTGGGCTGCTCTGGGGTAGATGACACCAGCCTCCCTGTGCTAGAAGGGATGGAAATACGCCTGCATTGTCTGAGCTGCCCAGTCTAATAAGTCTTCTGCCTACTTCTCCTCCCAGGTACCAGTCCTCACGCTGTCACCAACGTCTCTGTGCTCCCGCTCCTGCTGGCAGCCAACATCTCCTGGGAGCCAGGGTTTGACGGGGGTTATTTCCAGAGGTTCAGCGTCTGGTACACACCGCTGTGAGTCCCCACTGTGGGCAGGGTCTGGTGTCCCACCTGGGGCCTCAGTTCTGGCCTCACAAGTCACACATCTACTCAGGGTGAAGCATCTGCCCCGGCCCCATCATGGGTGGGTGTCACTCTCGGTGCCAGTGGGGGCTCAGCACCTGTTGGTGAAGAATCTGCAGCCAGACATGAGCTACCAGTTCAGCGTCCTGGCCCAGAACAAGCTGGGCAGTGGCCCCTTCAGCCAGATTGTCACCTCCGTGCCCAGGGGTAAGAGGGGGCCTGTGTGCTCCCCAAAGCAGCCTCTGTCCCCCCAGAGCCCTCAGGCACCTGGGAGGCTCCTGTTTCTGCCCCGCTGTCCCCTCACATCAGCTCCCACACTGGTGTCCCCTTTCTCCTCAGGCTTCCCAATGACCACAGTGCCTCCAGAGCCGCCGGCCATGACCATGCGCATCTTCCTGTCCCCGCCACAGGCTCTGACTGCCAACGAGACTGTGCGTA